AGTTTGACACATGTGCTCTAAGCGGACCTGGGGAAAGGATTTTAGCCCAGAATGTTCTGTCTGGTTTTGGTGTTGACGACTAAGAAGAAGAAAGGTTGTGTCCATATTAGTGGGAAGTTTAGTGGAAGGAAAAACTGGGCACATTTCTGTCTCTTGAAGGAATCTGTGTTCAGTGAAACTCGTCAACATTTTCTGGCTCCAGCAGATCTTCAGAGCATCCTGCAGGAGGTGCCAGTTCCTCATGTTGGTTTGTTGTTCCCCCCTTTGCCCCCAGCCCACAGCCAGTTCCCCCCCTCTCCTCCAGCCCTGTCCTCCCACAGGCAGGTGGGTGGTTTCCACCTGGAGACGTACCTGACGGAGCCGCGGCGTCCGGAGGCCAGCAGGCGGCGCTCTTACTCCTCCCCTCCTGACAGCACTCACCTGGCGACCTCCACCTGCAGCCGGCCGCCCTCTCAGGCCCCGCCCCCTCAGGCTCTTCCTCCACCTGCCTCTACCCACACCTGGAGCCAGGTGAGTAGCTGAGGTGTTCGCTGCGGTGGAACAGCTTCCTGTCTGTACAGGAAGTCCTTGCTTCTGGCAGGGAGTGTAGTGATAATCCATCTGGCTCTAAACAGTCCCTGTAAACGTTAAACTATATAGATTTTATTCAGCATGTCAGCCAGGCCACTCACAACAGGGGGCACACCGTTGACCTGGTCATGACCTCTGGTCTGACCTCTGGGTGACCTGGTTGTGTCTGACCATCGCTGTGTGTTTCTTAATGTCTCTGATTTGATTCAGCGTGAGGCTGTTAGAGGCGACACCTGAGGTTAGGGTTATTTTATTACCCATAATCCCCCTGTTATCTTAGCTGCTTCCTGTGATGCAATGGTCAGCCAATTTTTCAACAAACTGAAATCTAACCTGAACCATTTAGCTCCATTAGTTTAAAAAATGTTTTTAATAAACAACTATGCCCTAAAAATGAAAACTCAAAAGAATGGCAGGAAAGCAGAGAGGAGATGGAAGAAAAACAAACTAATTGACTCCCAAACAATGTGAACAGCCTCACATATACAACTCTGCTGTCCCAAAATTAAATAATTAACAGTGTTTTTAATAATTACAGTGTCCAACTTACCATTTTTAAGCAAAATTTTATTAATATTAATAAACCTTTTCTGTTCCCGTGGACAAACTTCACCCACACTGAGTGACACTCAGCAGAAGAGGGGAAAATATAAATACTCTTTACACGACTCATTTATCTTGACTTTAATCATCGGGTCAGTTTGATCCTGAACACTATATGTGTCTCAATTTCAATTGTAAAGATCACCCATTGAAAAAAAGTAACATGAAAAGATTTACAAGAGATCAATTTCAAGGAAATTATTGCTTTTTGTCTAGGTTTTTTTCAGTGGTCATAAAAAATGTAAATTTAACTTTTTTATGTCCAAATGAGTAAAAGAGTAAGTTATCATCATTACTTCTTTATTTGTGAGAAATAAAATAAAAAAACATAATTGTACAAATATTAATTGTCGTTAATAATCAGATACAAGGAGGATTTTTTTGGTTTCTGACACCATTACATGATTAAACACTCCCAGGTCAAATTGACTCACAAACATTATTGCTGTACCTCAGAAACGAACATGACAGGAGGGTTAAAGGAAAGTTACAAAACCATCTCTAAAAATTTAGCACAGCTGGGTTCTGTAGTTTCTATGACCAGAGAAGATGAAGTTCTGTTCTGTTCAGGTTCTGTCAGCTGGGCCCACCCGGACTATTCATTAGAAACGTTATGCTTTTATTTTTATCGCCTTCACCGGAAGTTAGATCAGCTTTTTATTTTGACCGAACGAAGATACTTTTACCGAGAGAGGCAAGCCTTTTTCGAAACTAGCCGAACATTGCCGAGAGCAGGCGGAGGTGTCAGACCGCTTACCGGGCTCCACGGGCTCTTCCATCCGGACTTAAACCCAAGATGGAACCCTGAAAACCTGCTCCATCTCCGAATAAAAGCACTGAGGACTCTCGCGGAAAGAAGCCGCTCGGAGCAGTTTATGAACGGAGCCTGACCGGTAGGTGCTAGCTGTGGGCTCATCGGTTTCCAGATTCCCCTTGAAAAGTCTACCATTTTAGCTGAAAAACCGTCATTATCTATTTTGCTGAACACCCTGGAGAGTCAGACCGGGTGACGTCAGAGCGGACCCGGTTCTGAAAGCATCGGCTGCGGTTTCATCACTGAACCACCGGTAAACACCGAGACGGGATTACCTGGTGACCAGATGATGCACAACACCAGGATGCTGTCTATGATGCTGCGTACTATCACACAGGTACCGCTGGGCAACTGGTCAGTTAGTGGTGGTTATCTGGTCAGACTGGTGGTTAACTGGTAAGTTAGTGGTTGTCCTGGTAACTAATGGGGAACTCTGGTGGTCAGTAGGTCCAGGCTGCAGAACTAACTGTTTCCACTGAAAGGAAAACCTCGTCCTTCGACTCTGCTGTGGAGCAGCTGACAGGGTTCCTCCAGTTCAACGGTCAAATAATCCCTGAACTGTGACCCCAAATCCTGCCGGCACTGACAAGGACGCTTCATGAATGCAGAGAGAAGGAGGGAGTTCAGATTTAAAGGGCAGCAGCAAAAGCGAAGGAGGCGGATTAGCAGAGCTAGCTGATGGAGGCATCCTGCACATGTTGCTGTGGAGTGAGATACTGAGCTACTAGCAGGTCATAGCAACCATGAGATCATCAAACATCAGCTGTCTTCAGTCAGAGGCTTCGTCAGATTCGTTGCCACACTGACTGCTACTGGAGATACTTCTATCTCGCCTCTTTAACGATACTGGGATGATCTGAGTTCTGCCAACATTTAAAGCAGAGTTTCTCAAAGGGGGCAATACCCCGTTCAAAGGACGGCAGGGGGCGCTGGCGGAAATTTTTTATTCAAGGGGGGCGGCAAGGGACCTGGATAATGGACAGGGGGCGCTGGCCCAAAAAAAGGTTGAGAAGCACTGATTTAAAGTTTCCCTTGGGATGAAGAAAGTAGCAGGAAGTGATGCAGGTGGAGTCATAAAGATGGTTTATGGGGAAGATGCCTCACTCTGTCTGTGTTTTCCTGCAGGTGGAGGTCCCTAGCGGCATGTCGGAGCAGCCGGATCAGATGGACCCCGGAGATGCCGGTAAGGTTCCTCTAATCCCTCGCCTCTCCGTCGGGTCGGCAGGTTCTGCAGCCAGGTGGGATGTTGTCATGGCAACAGGCGGCTCAGAAGCAGAACCAGCTGACTGGAGAGTTGAAAGGACAGCACCAGTAATGATAATCTGGGCAACAGGATCGGTTCCGACCCGTGAATCTGTTCTGTGGTCCAGGGTCCGAGGAGCCGGAGAGAGACATCTACATGCGCTTCATGAAGTGCCACAAGTGCTACGACATCGTCCCCACCAGCTCCAAACTGGTGGTGTTTGACACAACGCTGCAGGTGAGAGACCAGAACCACGTTGGGTTCTGATGGGTTCTGTTGCAACAGCAGCTGTGTTCATTACTGAGCTTGGTTTTAATCTGCCTCATAATTCCTTTCTGGGTCGGCCCGGTTCTGGTCGGGCGTTGTCGTTGCAGGTGAAGAAGGCCTTCTTCGCTCTGGTGGCTAACGGGGTGAGAGCGGCTCCTCTGTGGGAGAGCAAGAAGCAAAGCTTTGTGGGTAAGAGTACCTGGCTTCCTGTTGAACCTTCACAATAAAAGCCTGACACATGTCTCACCTGATGAAGATGATGACGATGGTAACAGGCGGTTTTTGTTCCAGGGATGTTGACCATCACAGACTTCATCAACATCCTGACCAGATACTATAAATCCCCCATGGTAACACACACACACACACACACACACACACACACACACACACACACACACACACACACACACACACAGACCTATCTCTGTGTTTGAACAGGTGTTTTGTTGTCATAGCAACAGCTTATTTGACACATGAAAATCGTGCTCTGATTGGTTGTTGGAGCTGCAGGTATCAGGATTAAACTGCTGAAGGTTTCTATGGAACCTGAAACCAGACGGGTTCTGCTGACCTCTGAGTCACTTGACCTCTGACCCCTCCACCTCTCTGAACCTCTGTGGGGCGTCAGCTGCCCTGCATCATTGCTGCCGTCTCAGTGTGTTTCTTTCCAGGTGTGTCTCTCAGGTGTGTGTGTGTCCAGGTGCAGATCTATGAGCTGGAGGAGCATAAGATCGAGACGTGGAGAGGTAAGAGCCGACCGACCCGAAGCATCTGGAAAAGCCCTGAGAGTAACGTCTGCCTTCCATGTTCACAGAGCTGTACCTGCAGGAGACCTTCAAACCTCTGGTGCACATCTCACCTGATGCCAGGTAGATTCCCCAGGTCATCCAGAGAACATGGAGGTTCTGCTGGACCATTGGTCAGACCAGAGTTCCTCCTGAAGGCAGAACAGCAGCTGCTGATTCTCTCTCCCCTCACCCCCCAGTGTGTTCGAAGCGGTCCACTCCCTGATAAAGAACAAGATCCACCGGCTTCCTGTCATCGATCCGATCAGCGGCAATGCTCTCTACATCCTGACTCACAAGCGGATCCTGAAGTTCCTGCAGCTCTTTGTGAGTCTGGGAGCGAGTTAGGGGGAGCGAGTTAGGGGTGAGAGCTTTTCTACCCAAGACGTTCAGAGAGATTATGGAAGAGGCTTTCAGGGTCACACTTCGACACCGTCAGACTCTTGGGCGACACCTGCAGGGCATGTTGTGAAACTGTTGATTCTGTAAACACAAATACCCATCCAGCTGCTGACCACACTAGGCACTACCCTATGCCTCTGTATGTAGGAAGGTTCTGAACAGGCTACTGTTGGGGTCCAGTTGGCAGAGAGACGGTTCTTTTGGCTACCAGCTCCCAGCGGCGCTGCTGCTTGGTTGTTCTGTCTTCAGTGCTTCCAGTTATCCTTCCTGGTTCTACTGGTCAACCTCCAGTTTCAGAAGGTTCTACCAGAGTTCCTCTAAGTTCTGCACCTCTTCCTCGTTGCTGCTACACAGCACCTTTTTGTCGATACACCACACCTTGCTAACAGTACACGGCACTTTTTTGTCAGTGCTCTGCATCTTGCTGCTACATGGTTTCCCTCAGTGTTTCATAAGCCTGGCGGGCCACTAGACTTTACTTGTGCCCCCACCAGGCTTAGCATTGCTTATTTACTTAAGTGTTTTTAAAATGTTTGCATTTGTTAAGACTTTATTGTTGTTGTTAAAGTGTAACACATGATTATCAAGTGATATTTTCAAATTTCCTGTCAACTTTAAACATTTTTTATCTGAAAAACACAACAGGCCGCTGGATGAATGACTGCCTTAGCAGGTTTTCTGGAGGAAACCTTGCTGTCAGTGCACTGTGCCTCATTGTCCCCAACTATGTCTTCCTCTCTTGTGGAGATTGACTTTACTCCTTCAGGACTTGTCTCCTGACCTGTCCCCCCTACTGCCTCAGGTGTGTGAGATGCACATGCCAGCCTTCATGAAGCAGACACTGGAGGAACTTGGAGTGGGAACGTACTCCAACATTGCCTACATCCACCCCGACACACCGCTCATCATGGCCCTGTCTGTGTTCACACAGCGCCGGGTCTCTGCGCTGCCCGTTGTGGATCATAGCGGTAAGCAGCTGTTTCCGTCGTCCCGTTAAACGTAGATTTCTGAGAGATTCTGATGAGCTGGGATCCTGTCTGCCTGCAGGGAAGGTGGTGGACATCTACTCCAAGTTTGACGTGATTGTGAGTAGTTTTGTCGTCTGCTGGTTCTGAAGAAGTTGTCAGATTTCTGATGGATGGACTGCGGTGTTTGTGCAGAACCTGGCAGCTGAGAAGACCTACAATAATCTGGATGTGACGGTCACCCAGGCTCTAAGACACAGATCGCAGTACTTTGAAGGCGTCATGAAGTGCAACAAGCTGGAAACACTGGAGACCATCGTGGACCGGATCGTGAAGGCTGAGGTACCTGGATACAGAAGGTGTCAAAAAGTTTCAAAGTTTTTATTGTAGAAGGTGCTGCAAAAGCCCAAATCTAGTTGATTTTGAGTCTTTGTGTTTGCAGGTCCACAGGCTGGTCGTGGTTGACGATGAGTCTCATATCATTGGCATCGTGTCGTTGTCGGACATTTTGCAGGCGCTGGTTCTGATGCCTGCTGGTACGAACTTTATTTACTGTCTGTTCAGGCCTTCAGCCTGTCAGTACATCCTTCAGGAACTAGTGATCCGGGTTTCTGTCTGAAGAACTTCTCAGTAGAGACGGGGTTTCCCCCAGTGCATTACCCACCGCGTTAGCTCTGGTTGTGCAGCTCTACGTGAACCACAGGAATAACTTGTAGTCGTTTCAGAGGTGCGTTGTGAATGATTTATATTTGTGAACAAAGAATTATATGTGACATTTCCATCTCACCTCACTGCCCAGCGTGTGGCGCTGTCTGCCCTGTAAAGTTCATGTTTGTGTTCCTGGTTGGTCGCAGCGTTAGCGGCTGACGAACCAGCGCTAACTTCATCATGCAGGTTGAGGTGAGGAGCTTTCACCTCACCTCGTAGTCACGCATCACGCTGGTTTTACATTATTTTATTATTAGTAGTAGTATTATTTTTCTGGCTACAAGATGCCTCAAACTGTATCAAATGCTTGGTCCACTTAGAGTTAATGCGGAAGATATCTGAGAAACTCGTCCCATAAACTCGACCAACCAGAACATTTTCTGTGATTCTTATTAAAAACTCAACAGACACAAAATGAAAGAGCTACTAAAGCCACGTTAGCAGCATTGAATTAAATCTCCTGTTTGTTGCTCAGTGCAGAGGATTGAATTTATCCTGCAGGGCCGGTCCAAGGCTGTATGAGGCCTGGGCAGAATCTGACTCAGGGGCCCCATCAGCAGCTCTAACAGCTTCTGTGTTGGATTTAATCTGAGAGAGGAGGAGGAGTTTAACTGGCCAACATGAAAACAATCAGTTATAATTCAGTTTATTTGTATTTGTGAACAAACGGCTCAAACTCAAACATTAAACTCATAGCATCAGATTGTTGCTATGGTAACAACAAATGTTACATTCATATATCTGTGGTCTGTGTTAAAATATCAGCATTTATGGCCCCTGAGTCCCTGGGAGCCTTAAGGAGCTGCTGACTTTATTTGGATTAAACAGAAGTGCAAATAATTGATATTCATTTTAATGTATTTTTTGATTTGTTGTTTTTAAACAACAAATATAGTTGTGGGTTTAAACATCGTTTCACTGGAGATGTTTTCCTCTAACATATAATTACACAGTAATATTTTTACATTTCCTCTCAATTTAACATCTTTACACCAAACATGGTGGAGCGCCGGGCTGACGGGTTCACTGGGGGAAACCCTGCAGCGGAACCAGAACCAACTGGGCCTTCATCCGTGTGTCTCTGTGTTTCCAGGACTGGGGCGGAAGGAGTCCGTCACCTCCCAACCAGAATCCCTGAACCCAGCGGAACCAGAACCAGCAGCTCCAAATGGGTCAGACCAGGACCCGGTTCTGGAGCTGGAGGCAGAAAGCATCCCGGGACCGGCAGGCAAGCCAGAGACAGAAACCGAAACAGATCACAATCAGGACCAGAACCAGAACCAGGATCAGGACCAAGACCAGGACCAGGAAAAGAACCAAGACCAGGAGCAAGACCAGGACCAGAACCAGGATCAGGACCAAGACCAGAACCAGGAAAAGAACCAAGACCAAGACCAGGACCAGAACCAGAACCAGGACCAGAACCAGGACCAAGACCAGGACCAGGACCAAGATCAGGACCAGGACCAGGACCAGAACCAGAACCAAGACCAGGTACCAGAAACTGAACTGGACCTGGCTCCCCAAGGAGCCACAGAGGAAGTTCCTGAGAGCGGCCAGCAGGGGGAGCCAGAGGAGGGGAAAGAAGAGATGACAGTGGTGGAGGAGGGGAAGTGACATCATCACAGTGCTTCCCCTTGGACTCTGATGATCCGCTGCACGGGGTCAAACCACAGAAGAAGAATCAGGACAGGCTGGACTGTGATTGGACTGCTGCTTAGGTGGGCGGAGCCAGACTAACATGCTGGGGCCAATCAGAGGAAGATTCTGGTTCTGGCTGCTGGGCTCTGGAGGAGCTTCAGGAAGTTTGGTTGCCTTGGCAACGACTCGGTCCTCTACCCCCTCCTGGTGGAAGTTTGTCACTGCAGCCTCATAACAGCCATGAAGCTCGACCACAACCAGAACCGGGTCACCCTGAACATCTGGACTTTCTGATGGTGGAGAAACATTTGAATGAGCCAATCACTATTGAGCTGCTGCATCATTTCCTGTTTCACTGACGTAGCCAATCACATGTCGTTACTTTGGTGGAAAATTACTTAAATCTGGAAAGTGTCATTTCTATTTCCTGCTGTACTGTAAGGGGGCGGAGCCCCGGACAGTTTGGACCAATCAGATGAGAGAATATTTAACTTTGTATGTTCATATTTTACTGTTCCCATAGAGATGGAGAAATGTAGTATTTAACAGCTGTGACGTAGTCATGGTGCCTCTGTGACGTCACAGTTTCCATGGAGATGTGTAGTGAGTCACTTTGCTACTGCTGTGAAAACGAATTAAAACTGCTGATGTGAGATCTGCCAATCTGGTTTTACTGGTCCAACTGGGGACCTTTATGGAAGGACGGCCGCATGTGTGGCATCCAACTGGTCTAACTGGAACATGGAGGAATTTCAGGTAGCGATTTTCCCCTTTGCTATGCAGCATAGCAGTAAATTAATAATACCTACATTTCCAAGTTTCATTGAGTTATTGAAATTATTCTACCACGGCTATGGATGACATGTAGAAGTATATGCTAATCTTTTATATATGCAAAATTTTTGTACGTAAAAAATAACATGCAAGGGGTCTATGTAAATCTGATTAAGTCAGTGTCTCGCCAGCTATGAACCTCACCGCACGTCATTGGTCTAACTGGTTCCCTCCCTGCTCCAAAATGGCCAAATGGACCCAGAACCAGACAGAACCTTAATAACGCATGTTGAGGTGAATGCAGTCACCTGGACGGGTCCATCAGCGGCAGAACCCAAGTCTACCTGGCTGCAGCAAACAAAGGGGTGGGGATGGACCACTGTCAGTCTCATACCTTATTTGGAAATGGGACCATTGCACTCCAGAAGTGAAGGGGGCGCTATTTCTTATATTATCCGCTTTTTATTTTCTTTTGAAATCTGTGATATAGCTTCATCTTTAGAAAGGAGTTTCACTCTCAGCATGTATTTTACATTTATTTACTTCAGCGCAGCTTACAATTCACTTAGTTGCATCTTTTTGGGTCTACTACTGCCTCTAGTGGTGTGGGGTGGTAACACAACTAACATAACACTAAATGAAAATAGCACAAAGTCTTTATTATTTACTATTAATTCCAACATTAGTGGCACCATAAACAATTAATTCTCTAAGAGACCATAATTTTTTATTTTCTGAATGATGTAGAGCTAATTAAATTACATAAACAAGACCTTTTTACGTTATAAATAATATCTATATATCTCTGTCAATTATAGTAAGAACAAAATAAGAGCAACAACAAGGAAAACATACATTGTTGTGCTCACATGACCCAGGTTAGTTTAGTCAGATATTTGAAAATATATATATTTTGTGTATATTTTATTCAAATTTTGTGCTTTATCCATCGGACCCGTTTTGTCCTATTCTCAAAAATCACTGAACATTAGCTCTTAGCTCATATGTTGCATAAATCTAATGTTTACAATCTCTGAAGTCCATTTTTTTAATGCAAAATCAATCTAATCAACAAAAGAGTGGAAATATTAGTCAAGAGAACAAAGTACAGTGCATTAAAACTATTCTTATGAGTACATTTTCCCAAAAAAGTCACTAAGGTAAATGTAAACAGTACCACCCACTTTTGAACATAGATAACAGAATTAGTAGCCTGTTCTTGTTAACAGGCTCAACGTGATATATTAACATTAGCTAGTCATCTTTTAGCTAACATTACCTGCATCCAACAGCTTTAATCAACTCACTCAGCAGTTTCCACAGGTGCCTCCTTATCAACCGGAATACTCCCTACCTTAGAAACTGCCTGTGTGCAGTAAAATATTGTCTCTGCTGTCTTCCTTACCTAACCTCTCAATTTTTACTTGATAATAAAAGACAAGCTGTAACCAAA